GTGCAATGGTGAGAACGTACACTTTTTTTTTTTTTTTTGGCACATTTAATAAAATTGGATAAAACGCTTTTAAGATATTTACATGTTTTAAGAATACTAAAGGCGAGTAAAAAAAACGTAATAAGAAAGACATGGAAAAGCCCTGCATGGTTATTTATACATCAATCAATTTATATTATTTTTTTAAATTAATTAAACACAAAACAACCTCATTTTTAAATCAACAGTAGCCTGGATGTTCAATGCGTAATAATTCTTTCTGCAGACATATGCAGCTTCTTCTGGCCCACCCGTGCCTTTAATAGGAATAAGTGTACCATCAACAGCACCAACACAATTTGGAAAATGTGCTATATTGAAGAAATCCGTCTTCATAGCACGGAGTGTAGGTTCATCCTCCGGAAATGTGATGTTAATCATCGTTGTATTAATAGCTTTACATGCTGAAAATAATTTTTTCTTGTAACTACATGTTTTATCTATTAAAACCTCATGGTTAACTCTCAAAAAATTTTTGATGAGAAATAAACAAATTTCAGTAAATTAATTTCTTTTCACTTTAAATCCACCCATCCATCTCTTTCTCTCTCTCTCTCATGTAAATAAGACCAACACAAAGGAAAAAAATCAACAGAGTGAATTACATGTATTTCTTGAAATAAGATTTACCATTATGAATAATGCGGCTCACTGACGCTCGAGAAATTCCATGTAAATCTCCCAACTCGGAGAAGAAATTCCCTTTTGACAGGTATCTGAGTGTAACAAGCAACTGCATATAAATATATGCCCCTATATTGCTCTTTCAAAATATGTACATATTTCTATGATTTTTATGTAAATAACGATTGTGTCACTTTTTCCCCTTTATTAAAACACTTATTAAATAAACACAATTACCTTTAATTTATATAACTTCAGCAGGCACGTAGCAAATGCGGGGGCGGGAGAGGGGTGCCCCCAACTTTTTCCCAAACATAACTTTTTACTATTGAAAAAGTTCATTGAAAGGGGGATTGCCCCCCCCCCCCCTTTACTTTTATCTGTAGTACAGTCATATAAGGGTAATGTAGTAATGTATGAATAATATTTGGTACTAAAAGAAGATGTAACCTTACTCCCCCCCCCCTTTCAACACACACACGAAATATTCTTGTCGCCCACGTGGCGCAGTGGTTAGAGCGTCTGCTCTAGAGTCGCAAAGTAAGGAGTTGATCCTTACGTCGCGGGTTCGAATCCCACTGTGGGACGAGTAGACCGGTCCTTCGGATGAGACCGTATAAACCGAGGTCCCGTGTCGCAGTAGGTGCTGGCACGAAAAAGATCCCTCACTGCCCAATGGCCGTAAGTGCAGAGTATAGGACAAAATATGCAGTTCTCCACCGGCAAGTGGTGGCGCCTCCATTTGAGTGAAAAATTCTCGAGAGGGACGTTAAACAACATACAAACAAACGATTCTTTTTGTCTTTTGCTTGTTTATTTTTTCAGGTAAGTTAAATTTTTTTCTTCGCTTTTTGCCCCCTTCAAAATCGATGCTACGTCCCTGTTCAGATTATAAATTCAGGGAAAGGTTTTTCCTTTAAGTGTATATTAAGTCATATACCGGTATTTCAAATGAAGTGTACATATAATTTACCTGTGTATAAGTTGGTATTGCATGTGTTTTCCTTGTTGTCCTACCAACAATGGGTTCAACATTGTTGACAATGTTAATGATGATATGTCGGAGAAACCTATATCTATCAATAAGGTCTACATCATCTCAACTTTCCAAAACATTACTTCGGTCTCGGAAAAATCTCTCTCTCCTTATGGAAGGACGGTTACGTTTCCTTATCAGTAACAAAGTCGCCATATTTTACGTTTACGTCCAAACTTACGCATTCCAATGAACAGACGTATAATTTTGGCCTAACTCTAGTCCGGTGTAAAGATACGCTCTTTAATGAAACGCAAAACTTTGTGCTAGTCCCGACTTTACGCCGGCGTAGCGCTACGCCTGGGCGTACGACCTTTGATGAAACTAGTCCCTGGTATGGTATTGGGATCCCCCCCCCCCATCCACAAACTGAATCATCTGTATCCATGCAAACCTCTCCGTTTTAGTTCTCGGGATTCCACCATTTACTGTACCTCTCACTTCAAATAGTCGTATCAATTTCTAGATCTCCTAACTTCCGTTTTGGATGAGAGTAGACGAAGATTTCAGAGATGCAAACTTAATTTCCGTGCAGTGATGGCGGATTTGAAAAGAGAAGGGAAGGGGTGCATAAACCACCATTGAGTTATTACAGATGCATATTCTGTTAATTCGTGCTATCTGGACGACAACGCAAGTACACAATACACAACGGTCAACATGCGTTTTTTTTTCAATACACATACAAACCAATACATTGTACAACGAACCCGACTAGAATTCCAATCCCGTTACAAACATACTGCATTTCATCAACATCCCCTTTTCTTTAATTAGAAAATTTGCCAAAATTTTATAAAGACATCAATTCTGATAAGCAAAATAGACTTGATCACTTGACACACATAAAATGAATAATGCACTTATCTAGTACTAAATGACACTGAAATGGTAAGCATCTGGACTACATACATTAAATGATCATTTGCAAAATACATGTACATAAATGACTAGAGAATCATGCGACTTAATTCACAGTACAAAGTCCATTAACAGGTAACATAGTCCTTCAGATAGGCTGGTTTTCTCCTTTCGCGAACAGGTCTTCCTTCATGGAGCGGTTCAGCCGATGTCGGTACAGTCGGTTCTATGGACGGTGTTTCTCGTTCACTTACACCAACAGTAGAGTTCGGTTCGTTCATAGGCTTAGGACCTGTTAAAGTGTTCCTCTGTGTGTCATCTGAATTATATTCTGTGACTGAACGCATTGGTGAGCGGTCTCGACTGTAAAAGTTGACTTTGGTAGGTCGCACATGAATTCTATTCCTACGATAAATGGTTCCATTCTGGTCCTTGACAATGTATGTCCGTGGTCCGAGGATACCATTGATTTTTCCGAGTTTCCAGTTGCGTCCCTCTAGATGCTGGAAGAATACCGCTTGACCAATATCCAATTCACTCTGCTCACGAGACTTCCTGTCAAACGATTTCTTTACTGCCTGTCTGCGTTGGTTCCTCTTTCTGGTGATTGCAAGACTTTCTTGTTTAATGAATTTCTGTGGAAAATATGGCATCATACCACGTACTTTTCTGTTAAACATGACTTCCGCAGGACTAACACCAGTGTCTTGTTTTGGTGTATTTCTTTGTTCCAGAATTGCTTCATAAGGATCTGTCTTCTCCACTTCACATTTCTCTAACAGTGTCTTCATAATTTTAACAGCTGACTCAGCTTTGCCATTGGCCTGTTGATGCATAGGTGATGATGTAATGTGAGTGATATCCCACTTTTTTGCAAAATCTTGGAATTCTTGGCTTACAAACTGTGGTCCACCATCAGAATGATTACATTTGGAACTCCAAATCGAGCAAATTGTTTCTTAAGTACAGCTATTACTCTGGAGCTTGTCATGGACGTCATCAAATCGATTTCAATAAAATTAGAGAAATAGTCCACTGCGATCAAATAATGTTTTCCATTCAGCTCAAACAGATCAAGTCCTATTTTCTGCCATGGAGTAGATCCTTCTGGATGCTGCATTAGTGGAGTCTTTTGGTTCATTGGTTTTCTTTCTTGACATATTGAACAACAGTCAGCCAACTGCTTAATTTTTGAATTCATCCCCGGCCAAAATATCGTTCCTCGTGCCCTTCTTAACATACTATCATATCCAAAATGGGCCTTGTGAAGTCTTGCCTTCATCTCATTTCTCAAAGATTTAGGAATCATAACAGCTTCCCCTTTAAGCATCAGTCCATCACTATGTGATATAGAGTCTCTAAAGTCAAAGTAATGGCGAATTCCCAGTGGCGTTTCATGTTTCTGCTCCGGCCACCCGTTCATCACCATTTCCTTGAGAATTTGCAATTCTTCGTCAACCTCTGATGCCTCTTTTATTTCGAGAAGGCGAGCATCAGGGATGTCACATGGTTCATCACTCTTCAATGACATGATTCTCATTCTTTCACTAAAGTTACCCTCATCACTCTTCAGATATGCACGACTCAAAGTATCTGCAATTTCGAGCTTCGTTCCCTTGACATACACAAAGTCAAAATCATACCGGTTCCATCTCATCATGATGTCCTGTAGTCGCTTCGGTGCCATTGCAAGAGGTTTCTTCAGGATGGCCTCTAAGGGTTTATGGTCATTTTGTATTATCACATTACGGCCATATGTATACTGGTCAAAGCGTTCCAGACCATATAACACAGATAACGCTTCTTTCTCGATCTGCGCCCAGTTCCTCTCAGACGCTGTCAATGATCTAGAAGCATACTCCACCGGTCTGCCGTCCTGAAGGAGAACTGCACCAATGCCATTTTTACTACTGTCCACTTGTACTACTACCTCCTTTCCAGGATCAAAGTAAGCTAGCACAGGGGTTTCTGTCAGCATCTTCTTGATTTTCTGAAATGCTGATTCACAGTCCTTAGACCAATGCCAGGCCTTATCTTTGCGAGTAAGTTCTCTGAGCGGTTCCAATATGGTCGAAGGGTCAGGAAGGAACTTTGCCATGTATTGGACCATGCCACACAGTCTCTTAATTCCTGAAACATCTGTAGGAGGCTGCATGTCATTTATGGCTCTTACTTTCTTGTCATCAATTTTCACTCCTTCTCTGGAAATGACATGTCCATGAAATGATATTTCTTTGAGCCCAATCTCTTGTTTTTCTTTATTCAAAATGATGTGTCTCTCCTCACATCTTTCAAAAACCTTTTGTAATTTTAGATCGTGGTCTTGTTGAGCTTGTTTGTCGTTTGCTCCACAGTCGGCTATGATGATGTCGTCCACCACGCTGAAAACACCTGTCATGTTTCCAAACACTTCATCCAGTTTTCTCTGGAATATTTCACTTCATACCTTTAGTCCGAAAGGTAGTCTTCCCCATCTATACCTTCCAAAAGGTGTTATCATTGTCGTTAGTCTGCTGGATTCCTCGTCCAACTTTACATGCCAAAAAGCCTCTTTCACGTCAAGTTTTGTGAAGGTTCTTGCCTTACTGAGCTGCGGTAGAATGTCATCGAGAACAGGCAGGCGATAATGTTCTCTCATCAAGGCTGTGTTAAGTGCTTGTGGGTCAATACACAATCTTAGTTTTCCGTTGGCTTTACGAGCAATAGCCATCTGGCTGACCCAAGGAGTAGGTTCTGTTATCGGAATTAGTACTCCTCTATCTTCAAGTTTTTGAAGTTCCTCTCGTACCAAACTCTGGAGTGCGATAGGGATCTTCCTGCAGGGAAGAGCTTTGGGTTTCACATTTGGGTCGACATGTAGATGTGCTGTTCCCAGATCGCCTAGGTCGCTGCTTGACACACTGGCTATGAATCTCTCATCATTTATAGTAATCAACTTCAATTTCTGCACAGCTTCAAGTCCAAGTAAACATGTGTACTGATTTGGAACAACAATGAATCTGAGTTGGAGTTTCTCATTTGTACGTGGATTGATAACTGTCAGATCTGCCTCACCAAGTGGCTTCATATTTGTCCTATTCCACATGTTCAACAAGGTTTTGGTAGGCTTGCATTGTTCCTTGCGGACATAGGACTGAGAAATTGTATTAACATCTGCGGCACTATCAAGTTGAAATCTAATGTCACAATCATTAATTCGCATGATTGCAGTTACTTCCTTGCCACCAAAACTAACAGCTTTCAACCACTGGTCCTCATTGAATTCTTGTTCTTGACTAACTGAGTGTATCTTCTTACACTTTGCTTTGAAGTGATTCCTTCCACCACACTGTTCACAACATTTTCCCCATGCTGGACATTTCTGTTTACCTGGTTCGTGCTTGTACCCACAGAATTCACAGTCTTTTTTCTTATATTGAGTTTGTTTAGTCTTTGGAATTTCCTTCTTTTTCTCTGTTTTCTGTTTACCATGCATGTACTTGTCATTAGATTTCTGTATCTTGTTCACTTTTAGAGTTGTTTCACGTAGCTCCTTTACTTGTCCGTTTGATTGTTCATACGCCCTACATACTTGGATTGTTCTTTCCAGTGTAAGTTTGTCCTCTCTGAGTAGAAGTTCCTGTAACTTGCCAGTAACCGTGAACACTATTTTGTCTCTCATCATTCTGTCTGGTTCCTTAAAGTTACATGATGCAGCACGTGTCTTCAGATCTGTGAGAAAACTATCAAATGGATCTTGGTATGGGAGCTTCCAAAATCTGTGAGATTCAAGTACTTCATTTGATCTGGGGTTACAATAGGATTGTAATTTCTCAAACAGTTTGTCAGGATCATTCTTATCATCACCATTTTCCCACTTGAATTGGTCATAAATTTCTACCACGTGGGGGCCTCCACAACCGAGAATTATGGCTACCTGCACTTCTTTGGCCTTGTCCGTGCCACCGGAAGCTGCGAGATACACCTCGACCTGCCTTTTCCATTTCTTAAAATTTTCTGAGACGTTTCCTGTTGTCAATTCTAACTCTGGCGGTAATCGAAAAGGACAGTTATATACCTGCACTGGGGTTGGTTCTGCCTCACCCATGTTTCATATGCAAATGGCGGACGCACGTGGTTGCACAAAAAGTCAAAATTTACGTGTACAAATAGCAGTTTGTTATCGTAAACAGTCACCTTGCAAATGCTGATTTGGATTGTTGAGACGTTTTCAGAGTCCACACGCCGCTGCCACCATGTTAATTCGTGCTATCTGGACGACAACGCAAGGACACAATACACAACGGTCAACATGCGTTTTTTTCAATACACATACAAACCAATACATTGTACAACGAACCCGACTAGAATTCCAATCCCGTTACAAACATACTGCATTTCATCAACATATTCGAGAAAAATGGTTCTATGCAATTAAACACTGATAAACCTGTTGGGTTACTTGACAAGGTATAAATGGACGTTCGTTTGTATTTCTTCAGAAGAGGCTCTATGCATAAATGAAAATATGCACAAAATGACTAAGAGCACATTTTGTATTCAAACGAATCTGAATACTCGATTTAAATTTGTATTCAAAAAGATGGACGAACTAACAGAAAATCACAGAGAAACAGCTAGATAGAGAAAACCTTGGCGGATATATTTGCCTGAAATTCCAGGAAATCCAGTTTGGCAGAGACCTCTTGATACCTTTTCTGACACGGATTGCCAATGATATTGTGACGTTCCTATTGGAGAGGGGAAAAAACCTTTCTTTCATGTCAACTCTCAGTAAAGATTTACAACTGTCGCAACACTACACTAATCATTATCAAGGAATCGCTTTAGTAATACACGGATCATGTCAGTTACAGGTAAACATTACATTGCACATTTAGTTTATTTTTTCCAATATTAATCTACATAAATTATATTTGAAACTTAATGATTTCCAAGACATCAGTATCTTCGTTAACTGAATACCAACGCGTGAGCGATGTAGAAAAGCTTGCCATGGCCCAATCAATTGCCATGCACCTGAATTAGGTAGCCTTATACCTGCTCCACCAGTCTTGCCAGCCTTGCCCGCTCCACAATCTATAGAACATATACTGCCATTCCTGCTTTGGACGAGTGTGTTGGTTTGTATTCCAAAAAAGTTATTGTAGTTGTGTGTGTATTTTCAAATAATATGCATCTAAATTAAAAAAAAAACACACTATTCAATGCAGTTGAAGTTCTGCATGTGAAACAGCTTGCTCTGCCTCCTGCACCAGTCTTGCAAGCCTTGTCGGCTCCCATTCTAACTCTGACCTTGTTCCTATTGTGGAAAAGTCTGATGGTTTGTATATGAATTGATAAAGAAAATATATTGACAAGATTTTCGCATAATGTTCAGCTTTATATTGAAAAAATATTTTTATTCATTATGTACGGCATATGAAGTCTTTGCATTGCAACCAAATCTGAGGGATATAAATATGATTTTAAGGACCTTCCTGAAACGAATCACAGAGAGTAAATTTTTATTAAGATGCTGCCTATTGCTAAAAAGGTCAGACACTGGCAAATTCTCGCATTACCGAAAAGTTAGAGAAAGCCTTCCCCTCCACGGATTTTTTTAGTAGGTGAAGTCACAGGGGACGGTAACTATGTCTGATTTTACGTATTTACTATATATACAAAAATATTCCTTTTGGTATAATTTTTGAGAATATGTAAAATCAAACTTATTATGTTACAGTACCGGTCCCTGTTGGTGTAGTTTATGGTCTTTGCATGTTATAATGTTTTTGTCACCCCCTTCTTACTATCAAAACCATTGCTACGGGCCTGTCATTGTTTGAATCGCACAGAACATGACTGTTCATGTACTTGGTATTCTATTATTTAACTGATATTCTCCTACCTGGTGGGTAGGGCTTGATTATTTTGAAACGTCATTAGAATTTTCTGTCCATAAAGAAAATAATCAGTAACTGTTACACATTTAATTGCAATATGATATCATGACCGCCTGTGTGCTTATTTTACATTTATCATTTTTGTAAACCGATCCTGTTAATGATAAGAAAAACGTCTAATCTCAATTATCATGTTTCAAGTCATTTTTTTTTTTACAGTCACATGGTAATTTTTATTACCCTATGACGCTTCGTTACGTCATACAAATTATGACGTTCCTTTTGCAATTTTCTAGTAAAACAATGCCATACTATGGTGTTCCGTTGGCGCCACTCGCACCTTCGCACTCTCGCGTTTAGGGCGAAGATGCGAGAGTGCGAAGTTGAAGGAGCGAAAGTGCGAAGATGCGACGGCGAAGCGCGAAGTTGCGAGGGAGAAAGTGCGAAGGCGAAGGAGCGATACTAGTATTGCTACTTCGCATTTTCGCCCTCGCACCTTCGCTCTTTCGCCTTCGCCTTTCTTGTGGAGTTCTCTATCGTATGCTTACAATGTAGATCGAAGTATATCTACTGCATATATGCAAATTTATATTACACCAGGATATATCAAATCAAACATTTTACAGTTTATGAAGCATGATAAAATCTTAATTATGTTCCCTGTCCTTTAGTTGAGACTGTGATGCACACCACCACTACGAATACATATATATCTATAATTTTGCTCGTGCACATGCACCAGTTACAACAATCATTTACCATCATTACATTATATAATCTACCATTGTATATAAAATTAGAGTGTCCGGTGATCAATTACACTATTTCTCGTTTCATAAAATAGCAAGTGTATATTCATTAGTAAAAACATCACTGTACAATGAATTTCAACCATTGCTTAGCATCCATTTTGGCGCCGTCACCTTAATCTAACGCATGCGTACCAATAACATCAAAGAGCCCACTAAAATTAACTCATAACGATAAAGAGCTCCACAGTAGTAAAATGCGAAGGCGAAAGTGCGATATTAGTATCGCTCCTTCGCCTTCGCATCTTCGCACTCTCGCCTTCCCACCTTCGCGCTTCGCAATCGCATCTTCGCACTTCCGCTCCTTCGCCATCGCATTTTCGCCCTAAAGGCGAGAGTGCGAAGGTGCGAGTGGCCCCAACGGAACACCATACCATACTGCAAACTCTCTTTAAGAAAAAGTAAATTAGATATATATAAAAAGAACAGTTCCATAAAGCTTAAAGTCTACTCTATCTGTTATTCAAGTGTCATTAAAGTTTTAGATGAGGCCGTTTTTTACCCTTCGTGGGCTTAGCTCTTTAATAACAGAACTCCCTGCACACATCGAAGATAAAAAGGCACAAGAATTTGAAAAGTTGTAGAATTAATTATTGGGGATAAAAACCATTTGAAGGGTGCGACGCAAGATTATATGCAATCAAACTGGCAAAATTTGTAAGAACACAGCACTCAGAAGGAAAAATCTCAAAACACATAGTGGACATGTACACCTCTCTTGTAAAATCATTTCAATATTATGGTACAGTTTAAATAGCCCAAGAACTTCAAAGATAATTCTTAGATTACATAATCAATGTTTTCTGTTTAGCTTTTTATGCAATCTCGAGCTCATAATTGCAGTTCCTAAGAAAATGACAGCTCAAAAATTTTATGTCTGTCATTTCCACAGCCTCACAGTCCACAACATACCGGCTTTCTTGCCTCAGATCTCCAATTCCTGAACAAGAAGGGCGGTCATTTGGGGATCTGAGGACAATATCCTTAAGAACATCAAGCAGACAGTGTGGAAATGTCATAGATAACGCTGTTATGAGATACAACATCCAACAACAGAGCGAGACAAGAAATAGCAATATAAACAACAAGAATCAAACATAAGTCACCAATCAAGACTCCTGCCACCTGCAGAAAATTCAACTCTCCCTATACAACTACTAAGAACAAGACCATATCTGTTTCAAACCCTCCTTGAACAGATTGCAGATTACCTCATACAAGGTCCGAGATTTGGATGGTAAAGACTCAGGTGATGGAGTAGGTGGTCGGAGTTAAATGATGTCCTCAAACATCCATAATCAGCAGGTGTGTCCCACAATATTTTGCAGAAAATGTAGTGATGTATCTTGAAAAAAATTTTAATTTCATTTTTGTGAAATATATCCATGAATGCTCTGAATAATTTTAAGATGTCTTCAAACTTATTGTAGCCGAAGTTCCGTGTGGCAATAGGTGCTGGCAGAAAAAAAAGATCCCTCAGTGCTCAATAGCCGTAAATGCCGAGTATAGGACAAAATTTGCAGCTCTCCACCTGCACGTGGTGGCTTCTCTATATGAGTGAAAAATTCTCGAGAGGGACGTTAAACAACAAACAAACAAACAAAACCAAAAAAAACAATTAAAAAATATTTTTTTCTAATTTTTTTTTCTTTTGGTTGTTTTCAAATTATCACACTTCATTTCTCAGATTGTACTTGATTCTGTGATGGTGACCAAGACCCAGACTGTTCAATCAGAGCCTTAGGAAGATGTGGTGCACAAAGGTGCAAGTGCCAATGATCCCGAGTCTCCGAGTGTAGGTCACGAGTCTCCGAGTGTAGATCACGAGTCTCCGATTGAGATCATCTTAGGGCGTAGAACAGGTAACTTTTGTGTAATCTATTCATTTTTTCATTCTTAAAATTTAATTACAACTGTCTCAAGTTGTCATAATAATAATTTTTGAAAAAAACATCTGATATAAATTCACCACAATGTAGTAGTGTGTGAGTTGATTTATTTTAACAGATTATAAAATAAATTTAATTTAAAACATTTATCATTTACAGTAACAGCTTTCCATAAATTTATTCTCATTCTATTTAAATATGTCAGAAATGGATTTCCATACCAGTTCTGGTCAGTTTTTCATGGATCATTGAATTCTTGTTTTGGTTGGCTGAAAGTTTAAGTCATGTGATTTTTATCTTGAAGTTTCTATTAATATTATTATTTTTCAAATTGAGTCTGGAATGATCAGTTTGGTCATTCAGTTCTTGTGATATATTGATCTTGGACTTTATTTATCCATAGAAGGTCAGTTGATTTTAATATTATAAATACATTCATTTGATGAATAGTAAAAGTGAATGTGTGAATCATTTTTTTATAAATTAATAAGTAAAGAGTATATT